TCTGAAAGTGAAAATTTTGCGCAAAAAACGCGTTTCTTGCGTTTTTTTAATGAGCGTTACTGGCTCACAATCGCGGTTCCCTTTTGAGCGTTTAAACGCGTTTTTCCAAATGTTTGTCTGCTTGGGTACCAGAAAGAATTCAAGAATTAGCATAGAGCTTTTTTCCAGTTTCTGAGATTTCAGAAATTCAGAATTAGCCATTCCACTAATTCAGAATTAGCATCAAGTATTCAGAAATAAAAATCAAGCTTTTTCTTAATTCAAGAAATCACGAATAACTATCACGGATTTTTCTTAATTCAACGAATCCAGGAATTCAGGAACTGAATTTGTCTTTTCCCATCTCTTGAAGTCTTTGAATTAAGAAAAATCCTTGATAGTTATTTATGAATTCTCGAATCTTTCTCGAGCTGGAAAAAGAACTCAAAAATTCATAAATAGCCATCAAGGATTCTCTTAATTCAAAAATTGACCCAAACTTTTGGGTTTTTTCAATTGAAAGAATACAAAAATTCAAAAAACTGAAAATGTGACTTTTCTCAGTTTCTTGAATTCGAAACCAAAAATCCTTTGGATTTACATCAAATCAGTTTGAACAATTCTTGGAATTGTAATATTCAAGAACCTTCCACACCTTCTTTTTTTGGAGAATAAAAAAAATGTTGGATTCTGGTTGGTACGAAAATTTTTACGGAAAACTGCATCGTCCAGAAAAACTTTCTAGACCCGCTGCTGCCTTACTCCATTTGGAAACGCTCTTCTGCCTCCGATAGACACATTGAAGACATATGGAAGACGCTTATTGTTTTGAAGACGCAATCTGGTCACACAAAAGACACCTTTTCTCGGTAGACATATTGTTAAAGTCGCATTTTTTTTCAGAGTGCATAGTAAATAAGAGTCTATTTGCAGAAATGTGCATAATAATTCAACTACAATAAAAATATACTTGAAATTCAATCTCTTCGTCTTTTGCCAAGAAACATCAATCTATTGCTACTTTACTCAGCCTGAACTTCTAGTAGACTCAAACTATAATTTAGAACTTCAATCAAGAAAACTAAGCACATCACTGGTTAATATCAAGGTCGGCTTAACAACAACGTGTAGAAAAACAGTCGCAGTGATAAACGAACAGTACCACGCGATTCACCATCGTCGAAAATCTATGTAAACATAGCTGCTATAGACGTCTTTAAACGTTAATAGCAATTACTTGATTCATGTCGGATCCTTCGACGATTGCTTCGTATCCTTTGTCAGTTATTTGGTCACTTTCAAGATTTCGAGTGGCAAGTGTTCGATTGACTTTCAATGCTTCGGCGATTGCTTCGCATCCTTTGTCAGAAATTTGATTCCAGTGAACGTAAACAGCAGTGACTGTATGATTGATGCTTAATGCGTCAACGATTGCTTCGCATCCTTTCTCACATATTTGGTTCCTTTCAAGATCCAAAGTAATAAGAGTTCGATTGCCTTTCAATGCAACGGCGATTGCTTCGCATCCTATGTCAGTAATTAAGTTTCCATGAACATCAAGACTAGTGAGTGTTTCATTCACGTTCAATGCGTCCGCGATTTCTTGAATTACATAGTCACATAGATTATTGTTTCCGAGATTCAGAGTACTGAGAGTCGAATTGACTTGTAATGCGACAGCGATGGCTTTACCCCCTTTGTCAGATATTTCGCAATTGCCAAGATGAAGAGCAGTGAGACTTCGATTGACTTTCAATGCATCCCCAATTGCTTCGCATCCTTTGTCAAATATTTGGTTTCTTTCAAGATGAAGAGTAGTAAGCGTTTCATTGATTTTCAATGCATGGGCGATTGCTTCACATCCTTTGTCAGATATTTGATTTCTTTCAAGATGAAGAGTAGTAAGCGTTTCATTGATTTTCAATGCATGGGCGATTGCTTCACATCCTTTGTCAGATATTTGATTTCTTTCAAGATGAAGAGTAGTAAGCGTTTCATTGATTTTCAATGCATGGGCGATTGCTTCGCATCCTTTGTCAAATATTTGGTTTCTTTCAAGATGAAGAGTAGTAACAGTTCGATTGACCTTCAATCCATCACCGATTGCTGCACCTCCTTTGTCAGAAATTTTGTTCCCGCTAAGATGCAGAGTAGTGAGAGCCGGATTGACTTTCAATGCATCGCCAATTGCTTCACCCCCTTTGTCAGATATTTGGTTTCTTTCAAGATGAAGAGTAGTAAGAGTGTGATTGACTTTCAATGCATGGCAGATTGCTTCGCATCCTTCGTCGGATATTTGGTTGCTTTCAAGATGAAGAGTAGTAAGAATGTGATTGACTTTCAAGGCATCCGCGATCGCTTCGCATCCTTTGTCAGATATTTGGTTCCAGTTAAGTCGAAGAGCGGTGAGTGTTTGATTGGCTTGGAATGCTGTGACGACTGCTTCACTTCCTGTGTCAGATATTTGGTTTGTTTCAAGATTTACAGTAGTGAGAGCTGGATTGAGTTTTAATGTATCAGTGATTGCTTCACCTCCTTTGTCGAATATTTGGTTTCTTTCAAGATGAAGAGTAGTGAGAGTGTGATTGACTTTCAATGCTTCGGCGATCGCTTCGAACCCTTTGTCAGATATCTGGTTTCTTTCAAGATGAAGAGTAGTGAGAGTGTGATTGACTTTCAATGCTTCGGCGATCGCTTCGAACCCTTTGTCAGATATCTGGTTTCTTTCAAGATCCAGAGTAGTAAGAGTGTGATTGACTTTCAATGCATCTCCCATTGTTTCGCATCCTTTGGCAGCAATTTTATTCCCGCTAAGATGTAGGGTAGTGAGAGTCGGATTGACTTTCAATGCATGGGCGATTGCTTCACATCCTTCGTCAGATATCTGATTTCTTTCAAGGTGAAGAATAATAAGAGTGTGATTAACTTTCAATGCTTTGGCTATTGCTTCACCTCCTTTGTCAGATATTTGGTTTCTTTCAAGATGAAGAGTAGTAAGAGTGTAATTGACTTCCAGTGCATCCCCAATTGCTTCGCATCCTTTGTCAGATATTTGGTTCCAGTTAAGTTGAAGAGTGGTGAGTGTTTGATTGGCCTGCAATGCTTCGGCGATTGCTTCACCTCCTTTGTCAGATATGTCGTTATTTCCAAGATGAAGGGTAGTGAGAGTATGATTGACTTCCAGTGCTTTGGCAATTGCTTCACTTCCCTTGTCGGCAATTTTGTTCCCACTAAGATGCAGAGTAGTGAGAGTCCGATTCACTTGCAATGTACGGGCGATTGCTTCGCATCCTTCGTCGGATATTTGGTTTCTTGCAAGATGAAGAGTAGTTAGAGTGCAATTGACTTTCAACGCATTGGCTATTGCTTCACCTCCTTTGTCGGATATTTGGTTTCTTTCAAGATGAAGAGTAATAAGAGTTTTATTGACTTCCAATGCTTTGGACAGGTTTTCTGCATCGATTTGATCAAGTTGTACGTTTTGCAATTGAAATGTTGATGTTGAGTGAATTCTATTCAGTTTTTGTTGTAGGACGGTGTTTTTTGCTAAAAGCTGTATAAAAATTTTGTGTTGACGATTTTTGGAATCGTAGTCAACCTTTTGAATGGTAAACTTTGTACCAGCTGGAAGTAGTACTTCTTCCTCGTCTGGAAAATGTGAGTATGAAGAGATATCCAAGCCACTCGAAATTGACATGTCGATAATAAACAAGGTATTTCCAAATGCTGCGGCTACAGCCTGGTTTTTGCTGGTGGAGGTGAATGCAAACCAACATCTTTCTGTGTTAACCGCTAGTTTAAAATGTTGAATTGTATCTGGATCAAGATTTGCACCGCGATATACTGTCATTGTTGTTCTTGTATCTAGATTATACCACGAACAGTATAGATAGTAGGAAAATGGACCGAGAGTATCGACTTTGGTCTTATCATTTTCTCTCAGCGTATTATTGACTAACGAGTACAGAAAACTGCTGTATGTATAGAGTTTAATGCAACACTTATTAATTTCTATTTCACCCTTGTTTTTCGTGGCTCTCAGCTGTTGTGCGATCAACTGCGCTTGAGAATGCTCGCCTAGCTGATTTCCTTCTGTAATTATTCCGTTTGCTGCTTGTTCAACTTTATCACTATTGGAAACATTGTTAGGCTGTTTTTGCTGCCACTCCATAATAAACCATTTACCGCCATAGGACCACTCATTGAACGGCTTACCCAAGGGTAGTGGAAGAAAGAATCTTTCTTCTCTTAAACAGTTGTTTTCTTTTCTATTATTTATAATCCGTTTTATTCGTCTGAGTTGGCTTTTTTCCAATCTACTGATTTGAGGAGATTGATTTAAGTCAATCCAATGGTTATCCAATTCAATCAGATCTGTTTTATTATTTTTATTAAACGCTTCTTCAATAATTTCTGATTCAATATCAGAATATTTTGTCCATTCTTCGTTTTCATTTATCGACCAAGGATCTGAAGTTGATCGCAAATACCATTGAGGTGGTGACATTATGTGCTGGTCAGCTACTTCTACCCTTTGATTTGCCATTGGTTCCACCGTTACAAAAAGGATTGTTATTAGAAATGTGTGATGCACTAAAAGGGCATTAAAGACATAGTAAGAATCTTGTGTAATTAAAAAAAGACTTATTGAGCTTTCCAAGAATAGTTCCAAATGCTTATGGTTTCATATTCTGCCGCAAAATACATCTGGGCTTCCCAGTCTATACGAAAACTTGATATTTTATCATTTTATTTGGACAGAAACATGAAAAATTTCTTTTATTACGTGTTGATTCGTTATCCATATTAAGCGTTCCCCCCAGAAAGTCGAATTTTCTTTGAAAAATGAGCTCTCTCCTCATTCATAGTAGAATAGCCAACATGCTGCCCTGCAAGATGGCATAAAAATGGGGTGTCAGAGTATCAATACGTAGTGTATTCTAAAAAAATTCCTTTTTTCTAAGAACATGCTGGGTTTGCGTATTCTTGTCGAGAATACATTGCTATAGCGACAGATATCTATAAACATGCTGCGTTTTGGGTGTTCTGGACCAGTAGCGAAATTATAGATATCTGTCGGTATAATAGTGTATTCTGGACGAGAATACGCAAACGCAACAAACTCAGCAGGTTCTGAGGAAAAAGTCATTTTTGAGAATATCCTGCGTATTGATATCCTGACATCTCTGTGCAACGTGGCATAAAAACTTTTCTTACATGTTGGTATTTTTATATTGAGTTTTTCTGTAGGATGTCGCACTATTCATGTCAACGTATTGGGTTTTAAATTTTTCTAAAATTTACTCTATTATAAGAGATGCAGAACTGACCATTTAGTTTTGGATTGAGCAGATGATGCTTTTCGAAATGATAAAGTCATTTCTAAAAAAATACTTTGGGAACTTTTTATGCTTTTCGCAAACGGCTGTTGTGTATGAACAGCACTTATGGAGGGAAGCACTAAAGGTAAAATTTATATTTCCAGAATTGTGAAACAGGCCTACCTCTACAAAATGAGATACTGTTGGGCTCAGTAAGATCTTTCTGTCAAAAGATATGACTATTTTAGTAGTAAAAAGTCGCTAGGTATAACTTTCATAGTTGTTCGAGCTTCTTTTCACCATGTAGAACAAAACAGTTTCTTAGTAGGCATATCAATGTATAGAACATGCAAAACGTTTTTCGTCATCATTCATCATACTCTTTTTCATTTTCTAGAAATTTGCCATATAATCAACCAATAATCAGCCCACTGTATTGTAATAAGGTTTTTTTCTTCTATTTTTCTTTCTTATCGTCTTGTTTTCGGTTATGTGCACGTGTATATTGGCAGATTTATTCCATTTTGTAACCATAGCAGACTTTTCTCTTTCTGCAAAATACGAGAAAGAAAGGAGAGAGAATGATATTGATGTATATCTACGCGTAGAATATAGTCTACGTTCTACGCATTTCGTTATTTTTGACGGCTTCCCTAAGTGAATATCCAAATATTAATTACTCTCTTTTTCCCTTGCCATCCTTGGGGTTGGAACTGATTTGTTGACAAAGAACAAGATTACAAGACATGCTTGAATATTTGGAATGAAAGCTCATTCAATTCTGATAAAAAATATCACCTTGAAAATATTTGAATCGATAGATCCTAGTATTATCTACATGGTACATTAACTTTTGACGAAAATTCGTGTCCTACAAGCCGATCTGACGGTTTTGTAGGAGACGATTAATCGTTTCTCGGTCCGAAGACTTTTCTACAGCAAAGAGTCACAAAAATCGCATTATTTTCATTCATTCTCTTTCTTATCAGTGTACAGTTAACATCTCTTCTTGTAACTTTTACTATATTCATTCGTACATATACACGTGTTTCTTCCTTCCTCCCATACATTCGAAAGTATGGATTGGAACGAATCAGTGTCTTTAGACAAAGACACAAATAGTTTGAATACTGAAAACGACAAAAGTTCAGAACAAGTTAGTGGTAATAATAGACAACAGCAACGGTTGTCAACTCGAATCGATGGAAACAGTAGTCGAACTTCAGAATCTCCGTTGAAAAGGCTACGAACACAGTCATCTGAGCGGGACCGTATACGACCAATCTTACAGAGACCTGTCTCAACAAATTCGTTAAAGTATCAGCAGCAATCAACTTCAGCCAGACGCCATAATAAAGCAAAAATTAATTTCGACTTTCCTCCTATATCTGTGATATTTAAGTCGCTCCAGAATATATCTGATCGGAATTTGATAAGCGAATTAATGACTCTATGGAAAAATCATCATAGTCTTGACCTGAATCTTATTGGGCGATTTGGTTATAACAAAACTCTGCTGCTATTTGCTAATGATCCTTCAACATTTGAAGCACTAATTGACGAAACAAAGTGACCGGATAGATTGAACAATGTTGAATTCGAGATCAGAATACCGCGTACTTTCCCTCCGTCATATTCGTTAGTCATCCAGCGTTTTCACCGCAACTGGGACGAAGACGAAGTGCTAAACGAACTGCAACAGAGATACGATTCTTTGAGGAAGTTGACACGTATGTACGGCGGAGAAAACTCGCCATTGAATCTTATCCGAACCGACTTTTCTTCATTGAAACAAGTTGAAGATATTTTGAATGAAATAAAAATTTATATCGGCCAAATGAAATATGACGTTCGTCCATATTATCAATCAGTTCGTGTTAACAAATGTATGAAATGTTTTAGTCATGAGCATCGAACAATACAATGTAATAAACCACAAATACGTATCCGCTGTGGGCTGCAGCATCCGTTTACAAACCTCGACTGTACAAATCCTGCTAAATGTGTCAATTGCCAAGGCAAGCATTCGGCAGACCATCCCTCGTGTCCTGTTGTACAACAGAAATGCAAGCTACTGACTGGACGTCAAAAAGTTAATCCTGCAGAATTATTAGTGCAAAAGTCGCAACTGCAACACTACAACACGGTTTCTGATTATAATGATGATGTTCCTGCCTTCTCATCGTCGTTATCATCCGTGCCATCAGTGCGAGCCAGAGGCAGTTATGCTGCAGCTTTAAAGCGACTACAACAATCGACAGCGACAGATAGTCATCATGTTGAACTCATTTTATCATCGTTTACTACTAAAATAGAACAAACACTGTACGATTTCGGATTCCGTATGACGACTCAAATATGTGAACTGGAAAAGAAGATCGATGAAAATGCATTAAAGATGAGTGAATTCGATAACATTGTGTACAATATCGTTCTTCCGGTATGCAACTGATGACTAATATTAGCTTGGGAATACGCGCCACCCACCACGAAAAAAGATTTAACAATGTTTATTAATAATATTGGTGATGTACTTAATCGCCGCCGCCGCCCCGGTCAACGAGCTTCAAGGTTAACGTCGGCAACGTCTGTGATTTCCTCTACAAATGGACATCACTAACGCCAACATACAGTTCAATGAACATAAATTTAATGAGTTGGCGAAAAATTTAATTCCAGTCATGAATGGTATGTCGAAATTTCAAAAAACCCTTGAACTCTCGATTTTGGAAGATTTGTCGTGGATGTATTCAAGAGAAACACTTGTCAAGAACTGGTTAGAGCAGTATAAGCAGCCTTTGATATCTTCGAAGACCTTTTCGATATTTCACTACAATATTCAATACTTTTATTCTAATCAATGTGAGTTGGTTGAGATGGTTAATCAGCTTTCCCCTTCTGTCATCTCTCTTAACGAATTAGGTACTGGCGTTCCCATAAAGATAATTGAAAAACTTCTTTTTTCGTATAATATCTTCGCGAAAGCGGGCACTAGCTCTCATTGAGGAGCTGTACTAGTAGCAGATAAAAAATTAAAATCAGTTCCTCTGGACATTGACATACCAAATGTAGTAGCAGTCTTAATTATAATAAAAAGTAGAACATTTTTAGTAACTTCTATTTATTCTCCTCCTCGCGAACCTCTCCCTATTACAACCATGTCTTCGTTAATAGGTCATTCGAAAGATTGTGTTTTTGTTGGTGATTTAAATTCTAAACACGCGGATTGGGGTTGCCTCCAGGTGAACGGTAAAGGAAATGTTTTGTCGAAGTGGTTCGATGCGAACGAGCTGGAGGCCCATAACTATGGTATGAAAACTTCGTGGAGGTCTGATACTACAATCGACTTGGTTTTTTCATCAGAAGCGATGCCTGCCGTCCAATGTCGGTCGCTCATGTATAAAGGTAGCGATCATCTTCCCGTTTTCACACAGTTCTTTCACACATTTTTTTCCAGTGATATTAGGAATATCTTTTGTGTCCACAGAGGCACCCAGTCAGTCATAGTCATTGCATAAAAGCGCAGGAAACTCTGTTTACAATAAATTTTACGCTTTATCGAGTTTCGAATAATAACGCACAAGAAGCTGCGAGTGTGTAAAAATAAACCGCAGGAATACGCGTGTAAAGCCTTTGTTTTCACAGCAACGTGCGTTTCCTGCGGTTTACTTTTACACACTCGCAGCTTCTTGTGCGTTATTATTCGAGACTCGATAAACGCGTAAAATTTATTGTAAACAGAGTTTCCTGCGCTTTTATGGAATGACTATGACTGATTGGGCACATTTTAATAAATCAAAATTTATCTATTACTCTCATGTTTGTTTATCATAAATAACACTTTACCATGCATCTCTCTCTCTCTCTCTTCTTTTTTTAAACTGAAACGTTCACACATAAAAAAAAGCAAAATGTCGTATTTTAAAACGTGATAATATACTCTAAACAAAATGTTTTCAGATGAAAAACTAAATGAATTTATATGTTTCTTTCTAATAAATTTTAATGATCATAATTTGTAAAATATTTCTACTTGAAGAGAATATATCACTTTCTATCAAGTAGCAAAGGCAAAAACATTGAATATACATGATAATATTAAGGAACATCTTGTTGATTAAAATTAAACTATTACAGAGAGACAAAGAGCAAAACTGAAACAAAAAACTAACAAACGTCAATAGCAGTTATGAGAGAATGAATCAATGTGATGCAAGAATCGGTT